TCGTGCATCAAGCTCTGCTGAATATTGGGACAGGGATTCTATGGTTTCGTCGTCGTATTCCTCCTCATCCTCATCGTTAACAATAACCGTTTCACCATGATGAATCCACACTGTGTAGTCCTCAACAAATCCTCGCATAATCAAATGTGATCTGATGATAGTCACATCTGTCCATGCCATACGGTTCTTGCAATCTTTACAGGGACAAATAATTGTATCCTTATTCTCTTTCAATGTCGTTGCATGCTTCATTGCGGCTTCAATAAATTTATCCACCTCTTCACGGAAACCTGCCTTGAACCTTAACGAACCATACATCCAAGAGTTCCTGTACTCCATCTTTTACAACAACAACAAAACAAACATTAAAGGACTACTTATTCAGATATATATAAAAATGAATCAAAGTAATAATTATTTGAGAATAATTGTATATACCTCAGATATATATGAATATAAATCTAATATAATTACATGAAGCATATAAACACACCATGGTAGAGAAAAATTAATTAATGGCCCATTTATCCATAAATAATTAAAATACATATTTATTGATTACAATAAACAATTTCAAAGACAACAATTAGCAATAATTATACTTTACCAATATCCTTCATACAAACCCTAGTCCAATTTTATCAAACATAAATTTACAAAAACGAAATTAATAAAAAAACCAAACCCTAGATCTAGATCACATGCACGTGAAACATCCATAAAACTAACTAATGGTTCACTAAAATCAAGAAACATGGACCAAATAAGGGTATGATCTTGTTCCCCTCCCTAATTTACCCTAGTACATTTAAAAGTTGGGTCTAATTTGCTCATAAATAGCTCAAGCACCATAGAAGAGAGAGAAAAACAAAACTCTAATTACTCACTAACCAACCATTAAAACTTCAAAAAAAGTTTGGAATAGCATTTTCTTACCTTCTACAACCTCTCCACCAAAGGATTTGAGACCAAAACCTTCCCCCCTTAGTAGAGCAATTTTTGGGAGGTGCCCAAGGCCTCCCCACCTTTTTTTCACGGGTTGGAGTGAGTGACCCGAGGAGGAAGAAGGAGTTGCATCTGTTTTATATGGGGGGCATTGTAGGGGCAGCTGGTGATTGAGCCGCCCCTACAAATCGGTGCTATAAATACGGGGCCATTTGTAGGGGCGGCTCAATCACCAGCCGCCCCTACAAATACCATTTCCAGGGGCGGCTGGTGATTGAGCCGCCCCTACAAATCAGACCCCGTTTGTAGGGGCGGCTCGTAACACCAGCCGCCCCTGCTGTTCCGTTTGTAAGGGCGGCTGGTGTCTGGGCACCCTAGCACGCCACTGTAGGGGCGGCTCCATCACCAGCCGCCCCTACAAAAAAATCGAACCGTTCCTAAAAATCGTTTTCTACGTAGTGACACGCTCTCCTACCCGCTGGTGGGCTACACCATTGGACTCACGAGTTACTCAGATTGGTACTTGGAGGACTTCGCCATATGGGCTGTGTTCCTGCTTCTGCTCCTTGGCAACATGGACAGCCTCACAGCCTGCCGCCTCAGCGACATCGACAACTGGAAGAGTTGTTGAATTTAATCTTAGGCATACACAGATGCATCTCAAACATAAACAGGATCTTATTCATAGTCTAAAACATGATAATGAATTAAAACACAATTAAGTGCGGAATTCTTAGTCTAATGACAGACCTGAGTTAGGTGCAGCCATTAGAACCTCCTCAAGCGTTGGTGTCGGTGTAGATGATGCAGATTCACCGACTGAGGGCTTGGATGCCCCCTGTCGATGAGTAGAAGGTCGCACGGGATGGCGGCAGCCTTCCAAACACCACCTAGGTTGACCTCCAGCGACCTCAATGATTGGTTTGAGGAATAAAAGTATATATCGGTTTAGCCTGGGCACCACCCCTTAACATATAGCGCTATGGGACAGGGGCCATCCCCAAAAAGACCCTAGGGTTGCCGCCGACAAGACTTATCTAGTTGGATTGGCAGTTGACAGGTGGACCAAAACTTAACTTCTAAATTAATATCGTGATTAATCTCGGATTTGCTGAGAGCACCTTCCAATAAGAGTATCTACATGTAACACCTCTTCAAGGAATTCTTGCTGGTGTCTATCGTTCTGAAGTTTGGCCGAGATATGCCCTAGCTGCAAACGCTCTCACACTACGTGAAAAACGCTTTGTAGGGGCGGCTGCAGATCGTTTGTAAAGGCGGCTCAGCCAACCGCCCCTACCATACCGTCTCTACAAATTATGCATTTGTAGGAGCGGTTGGTACTGTAGCTGCCTCTACAAATCGATTTGTAGGGGCGGCTAATAACACCAGCCACCCCTACAAATCGATTTGTAGGGGCGGCTACAGTACCAACTGCCCCTACAGTACATTTTTCGGCTAAAAACAATTCAAATTTACAATTCAAATTCGACCAGATATGCAAATCGATTTGAGTCATTCACCATTACTTTGCTAATTAAGTAATCAGGCATAGATTTAAACAGGAATAGTTGCCGTGTCCAAAAAATACTAGATAACAGAGATCCTAAATTTGATCAACACATAAGCTTAAAATACAATGAGGACAAGCAAATTGAAATAAAGAAGACATGTCAATGTCTCCGAGTGAGGAAGGGAAAACTATCATCAGCTTCATCTAAGTACCCTCCGGAGAAAATGTTTTCAGTTTGCTTGTGGGAGTCATTATCACTACAGTTTTTGCTATCACCACCCCTCCCCTGTTCCGTAGCACAAATGCACACCTGGGTAAAGGAATGATAATCAACGTAAGAAAGTTAACTTGTAACAAACCCATGCCCACCCCAAAATATCTTCACTTAATAACCATTTTGGACAATACAAACCTCGGGCATTACTTGGTGAAAAATCTAATGATGGAATTTCCAGATTATAAATCTAAATATCCCTTTTGTATATTTGTGGCTAAGTTTCAAAAAAGTGAGTGCAATCATTTTTTGGGTCACAACAGAGGTAGTTTTTCACAAAAGCATGCTTTGCTCTGGAAATCATATAACAGGCATCAACAACAGACACCATGTGAAAAAAGGTTTGTAGCAACGGGACATTTTTTTAGGGGCGGCTGGTGATGGAGCCGCCCCTACAGTGGCGTGTTCGGGATCCACGAGACCAACCGCCCCTACAAATGGAACAGCAGGAGCGGCTGGTGATACGAGCCGCCTCTACAAATGGGTAGGATTTGTAGGGGCGGCTCACTCACTAGCCGCCCACGGTGTTGCTATTTGTAGGGGCGGCTGGTGATTGAGCCGCCCCTATAAATGCCGCGACGGAAAACTTACGAGCAACCTGGGCCTGGGCCACGCCAGCCTTTCTGCCCACCCAAGAGGCGCTAGCACTTGCACGCGTATAAAACAAAGGGTGCACACTGGCTAGGGTTTGGCACCCGCACTTGCCGCTGTCGGCCTCCTTCCGCCCTCCCCGCCACCTTGCAGCGTCTTCCCCAAGGACTCCCGCCCGCCTCCGTCCTCCTCCTCACCTCCCCTCTGCTGCTGCTGCTGACCCTCCACCTCCTCGCCTCCTCCTCCTCCACCGCCCCTACCCCTCCTCCACCACAACCCCGCCCATGCTGCTCCCCTCCGCAGCCCTCCATGGGCCCGCGCCCGCCCTCGCTAGCGTTCCTCCTCACAGGATCCATGGGCGACGCAGACCGCCTCCAGCCGGCTTCTCCTCGCCACGTACCCACCCCACAACGTCTACCTCCTCCTGCTTTCGACCACGCAGATCGCATCCATGACGACAAGCGCCACAACTCCCTACGAGCGCTGGGCTGCCCTCGGCCGCGCCAACGTCCATGTCGTCGGGGACCCCAGGTTCGCCAACCCGCAGCTGGGCCTCGCCTTCGCCACGCTGCAGCGCCGCCGCTGCTGAGAGGTCGATCCCAGGGCTGGGACTGGTTCGTGAACCTCGGCGCGCCGATGAGTACCACTTTCGTGACACCTGATGGTGATTCCTCTCTACACCTATCCTGCTACATTTTGGTGTATATATGCGGTAGAGTTCCTGAGATTTTTTATGTAGATCTAGGTATTTGGGTGATCAAAAGAGTATTTATCTATATCTATTTTGTTTTAATAGATTGTTAATGTTTGCATGAAATGTTCCGTAGTTTGTTTAACATTGATAGATCTGTCTACAACTCTGGATTTGGCGTTATCAAGTAGGTGAATCAATTTATTATACATGATAGTTCCCTTTCAGAAGATCATGCTAATGCATGAGAATGGATATAGAAAGGTTTGAAAGAATGGGGCTAGGATGGCTTTAAGGAATATAACCAAATTGTTTGCAGACCTCCTGCATGTTTTTTCATACCTACCGAAGGATCTCAACTTCATTCAGCATACTAACTATATTGGTTGGAAGGAGTAAGGGCACTTTATCATTTTTGGTTCTAGTCTCTCTCTCAATTTAGGGCTGGAAGTTATTTACATTGTCTGTCTGTCTCTGCATCCAGGGAAAGACAAATAAGGCCAATCATCGTTGATCCTGGTCTATATCTCTCATCCGGGAATGACACTTTTTATGCCACCCAAAAGCGTGATCTGCCAAATGCTTATAAACTGTTTACAGGTGAGGGAGTACTGTCTTTAATCTATCACTACCGCATGACTCACACAGTTGACCAAGAACAGTGGTGACACGGTCCAATTATTCTAGCTCTACCTGTTCATAGCCTCAGGTTGGTTCAAGGTGGCGCTGATACGGAGCTACATCACCACACCTACTCTGCAAAGAAGTGGTTGTTTCATTGAGATGGTGATAGGCCTTCTATTAAGGTTGAAACCATTTTGCCCGTGGAAGGACAGACTTGAGCAGTACTGTATCATCCGTGAGCGGCCACAAGAGTTGGGTTACAAGTTTTCTCCATTATGCAACACGTACTACGCCTTTTGGACAAGGCCAAGAACAAGAAGGGTTGAAAGAATTCAGTAAAGTTGTCTGAAAATGTGAAGAAAGCCATGGTTGATTCCTTACTCGGATGCAATGGCCGCCTAACCAAGGGTGTGACATCGCTACAAAACAATGGTGTGTATGGTCATCTCTCTTGGGCATGTGATGATACTGCTACCGACGGATCGGTGACTCGCACCATAATGGTTTGGCACATTGCTACAACCCTGTGCGAGCAGCTAGATCCCCTAGCTAAAGAATACGACACTGTGGCCTCCACCATATCGCGGTACTGCTTGCATCTTCTTGTTTTCACACCTAACCTGTTGCCCGACCACAGCTCCGTATCAGATTCCATACTTGATCAGTCGATCGATGAAGCAAGCATGTTCCTCAAAGGGAAAGGGACCAAGAAGATGCTGGACAGGTGTAAGTTACTAATGGAAATTACAGCCCATAATGGTGGTGGTGGTGAAGCACGGCTCGTTGCGCAGGGAGCTCGGCTTGCAAGGCACCTGATTGAAGACATAAAGGAACCAGCGCGGCGGTGGAAGGTCCTCGCTGATTTCTGGGCAGAGATGATGCTATATGTCTCTCCGTCCAATGATGCCAGGGCGCACCTGGGAGCTGTTGCGAGAGGAGGGGAGTTCATTACCCACCTTTGGTCGCTGCTCACACACGCTGGTATGCTGAAGCAAGGCCCTACATGGGCAGAGGATATTGTCTGATCTCATCTCTCCAACTAGTGCAGACGTAGCCGTCCATATCTTGTTAATGCTTGTGTAACGTTGCATATTTCTCTGTGTATTGTCTGTTGTCAAATTGCGACAGACCTCACCTACAGAGCTCTGTATTAACAGGCTAGCTATAGGCTTAGGATAGGGTAATAGACATGTTAGGGAAGATTGGATTAGCTTATATTTCTGTTAGTAGTCTGCTTAGCATTCATGTTCTAATTAAACTATACAAGTCACTGCCACAGGCTAGTATATTGTATTGATTATTTCAACAATTTTACTGTTTGTTGTGTATTGGGATAGCACTCAGTTAGCTCGATTATGATGTGATGGCAGCGACCGTGAAACAAGTTTTGGCTATTTAAGTTGCATCACCAGACAAATGGTAGTAGCCACATTTATTTGTAACCAAAAAATGAGATGGTTTTATTCCAGCAGGAGGTGTCCGATCTTTATCTTGGTCATGGACGTACGTGCCTTGACAGCAAGCTTGAAAGCTAGCTCGATCAGGCTAAGGTCCACAGTTGTAGGGACAAAAATGGTGTTGGGTCTTTATCTAGGTAATGCACGTATCACTGCTACATAAACGTTTTGTAGGGACCGTTGAAGACCATTTGTAGGGGCGGTTTGGCTAGCCGCCCCTACGAAACCGTCTCTACAAATCATGCCTTTGTAGGGGTGGTTCCTAGGTCGTCCCTACAAATCGATTTGTAGGGGCGGCTGTAGTACCAGCCGCCCCTATAATACCTGTTTGTAGGGGAGGTTCAGTCTACAACCGCCCCTACAGTACGTTTTCTCGCAATTTTTTTTTTAAATTTACAATTTAAATTCGACAAGAACATTGTTTGTTTCCGCGTATTCCGTCCAGCGTTCGCGTTGCCGAACGCCCCGTGACCAACGTGAGCGAGGAAAGCGAGATAATCCTGCCAAACGCCCCGCGACCAACGTTCCGAACCGCGTTCGCTCAAGAGTATGATATAAACTACAAGCACAAGAGTATTATATAAACTACAATTACAAGTCCAATTCATAGAAATATATACAATCCATCGTTAAATAGACATAATTCACAAGGTAAAACCAATGTCAAATTCCATACACATTATTATCAACGTCCTAGAGCTAGCCTTTCGGTCTCCCGAAGGTGTTGGTACTGAGGATTTCTACCTAAGTCAGACTCTCGGTCATGGTAGGTGCCTTTGACGTGTACAATCTGGTCCAATATGAAGTTGCAAAGGTCGCCGACGAGTTCTAAGAGTTGGTCATCCTTGTATGGGTCTCTTTTCATTTCTTTCTCTTCTTTCCACTACAAGAGAACAAGTTTCAGTTTAGTATTTCATACCATGTACGAAGTTTTTATACTACGGGTGAAGAGGTTCAAACTTACCCTTAAGGGGTGTCTCCTGTAGGCACCGGTGTTACTCATCATAGAACATATATAGTTTCCACAATGTACACTCCTAGGCTTCTGCTTGGGGCACTGTGTGTTTTGCATATGAAAATATTAAGTAATGCTTTTGACAACCATATAATGGAGTACTGAAGAAGTAAGTTAAACTTACCGCACATTGTGTTTTTATAGCCAGCTTTTCCTTCCTAGCTAGATCATACCTTCCATGATGTTTAGTGACATAGAACCTAAATGCCCTGTTCGAATTATTTTAGCCAATACAACTTGTTAGTACCCAAAAGTGAACGTTACAAGTATGTATACAAACATATAAGCTAATGAGGATTGTCGATATGTATACGTCTTGAGAATCGATATGAAGTCTTTGTATGTCACCGGGTCCCTATCTATTGAATCAAAGACCCATGCTATGCTCCTCCCGACATTAACGCCTATACAAGTCTAGTGGTTGCTGTATGGATTTAATCATAGAAGTAGATAAGCTCTTTTGCATCGAATAAAATATATCAAACAAAGCTTTAAGTATAGAGTTAAACTTACTCGAAGTTGTATGGTAGCCATACAGTAGAGTGTTGTTGGAGAATTTTGAAAGCCAGGGCAATATATGCCGCAACCTTAAGGGACTCTTTCCTTAGTTTCGCCGTACGGATGTGCTCTTTCTCCCGAAGAGTCTTTTCAGCAGCTAGCTCCTTGGCATCCAGTAGCCACTGTTTAGGGTAATTAAAATTTGTTTGTGCTATAGCTTGAGGGTCTATATACCCGGCTTTCACACTTGGCATTTGTTTGACAATGTGCACTTGCATTCTACAAATCACGGCGTGGGTTAGTTACAACAAAATTCAAAGATTACATTCATATCATATCGGGAGGACAAGGACTTATAGGCACCACGTGCGAATTAGATTCATCTCCATTGCTCCGAGGTGAAAGCATGTTTGCATGTCATTGAAGTCAAAGACAATTTTCCCGGCTGGGCTTCCAAATGTGCCGGTGAGGAAGCATGCTTGTATGAGGTCTATGCTCGTTGGGAGAACACGCAAGTACCAATCATGGAACATTCTTATTCCAAGTGATAGGCGCTGGATGTCCTGGTTTGGTAGGAAGGGATTGCCTCTTTCACATGTTTTCGGGCAATCCTTTGACCATTTGATAGCATCAACATTTGGATACTGCTTTGCTGTTTGGTGGAGTTTGCTAGTGACGGTCTCATCAGAACCCCGTGATGTGACTTTTTAAATTGGTTCTCAGACTTGAACTGGTCATAGGAATACCACTTGGACACCGACGAGACGTCTTTCATCGGAACATAAATTGGTCTTATGGTGATTGGATGCTTCTTTTGATGTCCCCATTCAGGCACGTCCTCATCTTCTTGTGCATCACCTTCTTCAGGAGGCACTCGTTGTTCATATTTTGGCTGTGCTTGTTGAGAAGACTATGGCATCTTATCATGCACTTGCTCGGTACGAGCTGGAGAAGGTTGTGGCTTATCAGGCACATGCTCGCTAGGAGGCGGGGAAGAATGTGGCATCTCAAGAATGTGGTGGTCATGAGACGGTGAAAATATCTCCCCAACCTCAACAACTCGCTCCAAATTTGGGAGAGGG